CGATTTTTATTCATTCGATTCTCAGTGTTGATACGTTAAATAAATCATTTCATTCATCACACTATTTTCGTAAGAAATCTGCAATGAGTGAATAGATTTTGAAAACGAAGAATTAAGAAAAAAGATTCAATTTAGATTTCAATTGATGCATAGATAAATCGGCAGATGTGTTTCACTTTATTGAAATGTCAAATATTGACTAACATCTACTTGCTATATACGGCATTTCGTTTATTATTCATTATTCTGTGTGTACAAACTAGTCAGCAAGTTCTCGAAACTTTAAATATTCATTTGTAAGAAACGCATTTGGTCAATCCTTTTACAATAAATGTCCGAGTTAGTCGTCACGATATTCTATAGAAAGTTTTCCCGTTTAAATCTATTCCTACAAGGCCTTTGGGCATCCTTGGATGAGTACTGAATTGAACTCTGTGGTTATCAAAGTAGCTAAAGTTATAGCATGTGAATTTCTACCCATCGTGTATATGAAACAACTGAATAAGTAAAAGATCAAAAGAACAATATAAAATCTGTCTTGCAAATTAATCATAAGTTAGGATTTTCTTTGTGAGGATAATGACAATCTGAAATAATATTATTAACGCGCTCATCTATATTTTAACGATACTTATTTTACATCATGTTTTTTAACAATGATATTTTCTATTTCGTCTTTTGACTGAACGTTTTCCAGATCAATGGTGGTTTTTATACCTGATATATTAAGTATGAGGCGATGATACGAAGCATTACTAAAATATGGCTTATCCATCACGAAGTCTGTAACAATTTTTTAACATCTCTGGTTCGCTTTAAAATCGACGGACCCACTGAGTTACTGTTCTATATCAAGCAACATCTTATATACAAGTAATAACTAATTCATTATGAATTTCTGTCGTACTTATACTCAACAATGAATCAGTTTTTATATGACTGATACACAGGTCGTTCATGTGAAAAGTAGAGGTATGAGCAGGGCTCATTACCTGTTTGCTCTATTTGAGGCTTTCAGAAGGTCGTCTATGTAATACTTGAAAGTTGAATTCGGTTATTCCGTTATTCAGTAATTTGATTATTATGCTTGAATTCTTCGACACAAGGCTTAGATCCAAGTAAAGGTAAGAGTGAGGACAAAAGTGCGGATTGGGGTATTTCTGCGTGAGACCGTCGCGAAAGGTATGGCATCGGAAACCTAGTATTGAAATATCTGAAGTGATACTTGAATAACTGAATTCAACTTTCGAGTTGAACACTACTGAATATAGGTGTAAAAGTAGAATTTTAGAAATCTTTTCATCTGTCCACGAATCTATCGATTTCGAATGATCCAAAAAAGTCACAAAGATATGCTCTAACAAATACGAACAATTTGATAGAAAAGATCATAAAATCACAGCAGGACTCGAGCCTGCATCTTCCGATAACCGGTGTGAACATATTGGATGTAGGCTTGCTTGGACTCTTCTGATTACGTTGTATAGAAATAAGCCCCTTGCCACTTTCACGGAACTTTGAATGTTTGAGATCACTTCTGTTCCCTACATGCATATTTGGATGCGGCTTTTTGTTGTGATGTTAATTCCCGGTTTCGACCTTGCTTACTGGTCTCATCAGATGGCTTTTCGCTATTGGCACTATTAGATTACCAAAATTATCTACGCTTCAAACACTTGTGTGCCAAGTTGAGAGTACTACCATGATCGGTTGTTCATTGAATTGTTCTGTTCAGTTTTCTGGCTAGTTTTGGCTGTGTGTGACTTATTGTTACTAGGTATTGTTCGCGTATTATGTTTTGTGTAAATCATCTTATGACGATTACAAGACGAAGGATCATTGAACAACAGCTATTTTGGTGTAAGTCTCCTCGCCGAAGAACTCTGGTTGGCTGTTTTGCAACCTATGTAAGCGTTATATTCGCTTCTTATGTTGCTCACCATGTATAAAATCAATCTTTCTGACTGAGAGTCCAAACACTGATGTAGAAGGACTTGCACGCATTCTCTCATGAATTATCTACTCATAGCTTTCAGGAAGATGAGATAATTATAATGTCTCTCAAACGGTATTATGACTCGATTCTTTCGCTTTCTGACAGACTATTCTAGGCTGATGATCGACGAAGATGAACGACATTTTCAGAGTTTATGTGAAAACAAAGACAACTTCTTTTTATTTCGCTTCTTGTCAACACGTGCAAAACAAAGAACGAGACCAGCTGAGACGCTCTAGACGATTGGATACGCAGTCGATCAGATCGTCGAGAGTTACACACCTAAGGAGAAGCAGAGTAGGAAGGCCACAAGTATGGCCATACCTATGATAGTTATGGAAGCAACGCTTACGTTTCGTCGATGATTCGAATGATCTTTCTATTGGCGTAAAGTGGACCAAAACGTACGATGACTAATACATCACGGTGATCGATGAGTGCTTTCCAATCCATCTCTATCAGTTGACGGAAAAATGGCCATCGCTTACTTTTCTGCCTTTCATGTAAACAACATGAAAAAATATCCTTTTTTCGAATGATTTCCTGTATCTAGACGCAAATTAAACAGACAAGCTGTTGCACAGACAATGGCAAAATACACATGCATACCTGTCGTTGTTTCTCGGATGCATCAGTTTTTCTTCAGACCCATTCCATGTGGTTAGATGACATCGCTGAATGCTATATGAAAATGATAGGAATTTATTACACGAAAAAGTATAGTTCCTTCTCGAATGTGTTATACGATCTTGCTCGTCACACGTTAAATATCGTTCTTTATTTTATTATCGAAGAAAAAGAAATAACCGGACGACATCATCCATACCATTCTTATAGCAATAGACGTGACACACCAAATGTGAGAATGGCAAAAATTTTATATCGTTGTCGAATCTGATCCTCCATGATCTTCTGACCGAGGTAGTTATCAGTGCCTTGTTCCGAGAGAGCCACCCATTGCCGTTCGAGATAGGTAACTCGACGCTTCAGTTGATTCATGGCCACATTTTGCTCCAACAACAATTTATCATTTGCCGTCACTTCTGTATTCAGTTGATGCTTTACAATCTTCCCAACAAGAGTTCGAATCAGACGGAAGCGGTTCAGCAAACGTGATGCAAAAAGCATAAGCACATACGTAATCTGTCGTCGAATTAGTTCGATCGCGAATTGCGTGACATTGTTCAGTCGATGAATATGCAAAAAAATGAGTTCAATCTGAAACACACATTCGAACGATTAGTTTCAAGCCTGAATGAAACTCAAATAAGTCTGAGAAACTCATTTGAACAGATCATGAAATTAAAACCTCCAATATCCAAGACAGTTTTCATCCTACTTGGCCTTTGTCATATCCACTAACTCCCTTAATAAAAAAAAAGGCAGCAGCATATTCATCACTGTGATGAATTGTTTCTGTTGCCGCTACTGCTGCTGTTAATCATTACTTTTGTTCATATATCAAAATGGAAAGCGATTTACTATATTTTCTTTGCTTCAAAATTAGGTATTGTATCATCTTCCTTTATGTAGCCTGATGTACAAATCAAAATCTATTTACTTTCATTAGATTGAATCTCAGAAACGACAAGTACGATCGCAGGATGATTTTGAAAACTAATTTAAGATTACACTTACCTACTTATGATCACTTTCAGTGTGCATATATTGTTATGAGTGCAAGGTCTAGAATGAAATGCATATCAATGAATACTTTCCTATATTCGATACTTGCACAATCGTGTAGGATAAAAATAGAAAACGAAATTCACTCAACTGGTATATAATATACCATGAAAAAGAATGAAGAATGATTTTTCTCTCATTGGTTATATAGTACCTATTTCGACTAAACTTTGCGCGGCCTTCACGTTCCTTCTTTGAAAAAGGATACTTATATCTCATACAGAATAATGGCACGTTGCAAAGGCATAATTTCCAAACACTCCCTTTAAAAATTCTTTTATCATTCCCAAACATCTCTACATTTTGATAGTATGAATATTTCATACATATACCTGTCTAAAATACCAGTCTTGAGCATTTTCTCATGTTAATCACTGGGGGAAAATTCTCGCTCACATACATTCCTTTCCAGAAAAAGCCAAAGTTAACTTTCTCCTAACGACCATATGTACTGACAGTATTTTTCATTACATTCTGGTTACGACAAGTTTCTTTAATCATACATCAACTATGTTAATCGTAAAGTGCCGTAACCTCAAGAGTATTCTCAATCTTTTCAAAGCAATCGACCACCCTCACTTTGTTAAAACTGTAATTCAAACCAAAACACTCAAACCTGGATACTATAATGCACACATGACCAGCATAATACATACATCTTTGAGTTTCATCGGAAACAGTTCATACGAAATCATAAGCCATCTTGGTGAAATAACAAGAGCCGTTGAACGACAATGTTCTGTTGGTTCACATTTTAAAAGATAGGGTATAGGTGAAGGTCAACCATTGGGGATCAAACTCAAAAATCTTTCGATTTAATATATGGAAGGACGAAAAAGCAAAGCACACTTCTGGCTATTATCGCTGCATCAATCGTCTTGGAAACTCGCCATTCCCTGTCAATAATGAGCGTTGATGATCCATATTCGCTATTATACATTTACAAATATTCGACTCAATCGCCTCTTCTTCAGACCGTAAACTGTGGTGGATATGCCCTGAATGTTATAATCCTTCTGAGAATCAATTCATCCGTTCAAATGGTAGCTGTAATTGGTACTTTTGCCCATCGTGATCCGTGCCAGCCCATTTCTATACTTTTGTAATTATCGAACAACTCTCGTCGACACTTATAGTACGTTTATTCGAATTACAAACAACACTCAGTGGATAATTAGAATTGACGACAGCAATGAAGTCTAACTGAAAGATGACAACATCTACACAACTAGGATAATGGAATAATCACAAAAGTAAATTTTAGAGGTTCTAGAATGGTCTATAATTGTTTTCTATTGCCACCGTTTCTTGATAGCATTCAATGAGTCGATTTTGTTTGAGTATTCACATTGTTGCCTAGCTTTCGTATTCGCAGTATGCACAGAACTTGTCTACGAAAGCCACGACTGGATAGGCAAGATATATAAAAACTTGTACCATAGAATAGATAGGAGAGAAGCCGTATAAGGTTAACAAAAATATTCTCGTAAGCGAGATATAGTGGTGTTTTTTCCCAATGTAGAGTAATGCTGGAGTAAAGGTTTTGAGCGCCGTAAGGTAAAAATGAAGGGAGAGCAAAAAATGCTTGTAGTAGTATCATAGTTGATATTTGTGCGTCGATTTGTTGAATAAGTGAAAGCTTTTCATTGATGGGTTGCGGTCCTCCAGTAGGTACTACTCGTCTTCGAGAAATACTTCGAACATTTCTCAGAAGTATAGTACCCAATACTATTACAAATATATTTGGTAGAACGCCTGACGTAAGTGTTTCAGCATAGGCATCAAATTTTTCGTAAGTGCCCCCCCATGGGACCGCAAGCTCCACCACTGATTGTATAAAATATTAAACGATGGCTAGTCCATAGAAACCAGAAAATCACAACTGCTGGAATCAACTTATACGTGAGAGAAATGCGATTGCTCCATGCACGATACCCTACAATAGAGAATACATCATTGGTCATTTCGTATCAACAATGGCAATCTTATTCAAAACAAAATATGCTCTGATGATGCCGTTCACGGCATGGTCAGGACATATTCCTATAGCGTGTCATGATGATTGTTCCACACATTGAATGATGTCCAGACATGACATTCTCACACTTACTAGCGGAGCGGTGGGTAGATAGACATCGATCGATAGTAGCCAATACAAATAAGCTAAATGCAGTTTCATGTGTAAATTCCGAAACCCATTGTCGTGTTTTGCAAACGACGGAATAACGGCTAAAAACAGGAATCTGGAAACCGTTTTGAATAACTCGTGTGAGACACACATAATCAAAATGGAAAAATGCGGCTACCGCTTCCGCTATTAAGTAATTAGAACAAGCTCGCGCGCGAAAGGTTCGAGAGCTAAATACCAGAAAGTTTCCAATACTACTGACAGTGCCCGTAATTAAAATGAATGTACCAAGATAAATATTTAATAGAGGAGGTACTTGCAATAGTATTGGATTGACATACACAGGTGCGCTTGAATTTGTGGTCGACATAGAAAGAATAACTGAATCAAAATTTCGAAATGCTCACTGACAACCTTGATATCTAGAACAAGATGACACACTCATTTCTCGAGAATAATGGTGTCTTACAGGTCATTTCAACTTATATATCGTTCATACTCGATACTATCATTAGAATATAAATTTAGTCTTCGGTAGTTAAAAGATAAGCACTTTTGTGTATACTTATGAAAATTTTTATATTTTGATATGTTCTACAAAGGTGCAGAATGGACGGATGGGGCCATGCTGATGATATTGTCTTCGATCATTATTAGAACACATCGGATACCTCTCTTTTCTCTTCGATCTCTATGCACACACACACAACTTATGTCATGATCTAAACAAAGGCTTTGATTGGGACAAATGTTTCCTGCATTCCACAGTCAAGGGTGAAGTGAGTTGAGGCGACGAACGTTACTTGTGTCTTTATGTCTAATTAGTAAACCATTCTTCGATAGTAACTCGGATGTAAATAGTAATACGTGGTTGTAAGATCGCCGATTATAGGTTTCTTTTGGAAAGGTTGCAATGTTAATATAGAATGAAACTAGCAACTATTCTGAAGATATAAACCTGCTCCTCTAAACAAGAATGATGTAGATATTTATTACTACCTGAAAGATCTGGTGGGCACGTCAAAAGAAGTACAGGACGACCTTTTCATAATTTATTCACGTTCGTAAAGACGTTAGAGAAATCATACTATAGTGTCTTCTTTCTTTTCTGTTCCGCATGATTATAGTCGTTTCAATGCATTCTTTTAGATTGTAAAGGAAAAAGAACATCATCTTCTAAAAGCATGCGTTAGAATGGAAATAATTATATGGACATTAGCGCAACTCATACCGGCTTCATCGAGTGTGAAATAAGATTCGAATGATACTATCCACACATAGAAATCTCACGTTTTTCACTTTCTATAGCCTTCCCACCAATCAGAAAAGATCTCTCATATTAGAGGATGCCATCGCTTTACAAAGGCCACTCGCAAAATATCATAAATCAGACTTTATCAAGTGTCCTCTCCTATAAGGTTGACGTTGCCATAGAAAGGTCAACAACTTTTGGAAAACTGGTAAAAAACGGGAAGATTTTGAAAATTTGTGTTTATCTATCATAAACTGCTAAAAAGTGTGTATTAATTAGTCGAAGAGCATCCGGAGAACTATCTAAGTTGGAACCCAACAGAACACCGGAGAATATTCAAAAACGAAGAGCGAGGCATATACACTATCTATAAAGTCAATACATCTAGTATATACATTACTATAAATGTTTACTGTGACTCGTAAAGTGCAGAAGGGCTGGATTGCCGGTCCAAGTTTCTACTCTCACTGTTTTCATGGTAAATAGTGAATATTTGCAGACTAAGCTATAGGAATAGTTTCCTGTAAACATTGATTTTTTTCGACCCGCAATGTCTTATATCTTTTGTCAGTAAGAAGAATGAGCCGAGTAAAGTATATATCCAAAATATTAGAGTTATATTCGGTAATCCGAAAAAAAAACAATAGATGCAACTTTTAAACTTACGACTGTATTTTGAGCTCTTTGTAAAAACATCAGCAAGCGGAGTAAAGATAAGATTTACGTCTATTGTTTTTTTTCGGATTACCGAATATAACTCTAATATTTTGGATATATACTTTACTCGGCTCATTCTTCTTACTGACAAAAGATATAAGCCATTGCAGGTCGAAAAAATCAATGTTTACAGGAAACTATTCTTATAGCTTAGTCCTTTGGGGTCATTGTAGCTAATGGCGTAGTTTACAAATACCCGTAAATAGTTATGGAGAAAAATAAGATAGATGAAAAGGAATATTCACGCCTTGCTCATTTGACGTCAAGAACGTCCACACCACTTATTTTGACGCTTCTATCGCAGGCGACTCAAAAGAATTTTATGCTTTCTTCTTTGATGACAGTCAAAACGATATCAGACGATGTCAAAACAACCCAATCTATTTTCAATCATAAGTTTCAATAAGAACATTGCGCACACTTTAATTAGATAATAAAGAGCGTCCTTTTATGAAGCACGAAATGGAATTGATTATTGAAAACGCTACTCCAGCGTATCGAGTGGCTAGCACTAGTTATTATATATGATGAGATTCAAGATTGAGCATGTCCAGTATGATGCNTGTCTACGAAAGCCACGACTGGATAGGCAAGATATATAAAAACTTGTACCATAGAATAGATAGGAGAGAAGCCGTATAAGGTTAACAAAAATATTCTCGTATGCGAGATATAGTGGTGTTTTTTCCCAATGTAGAGTAATGCTGGAATAAAGGTTTTGAGCGCCGTAAGGTAAAAATGAAGGGAGAGCAAAAAATGCTTGTAGTAGTATCATAGTTGATATTTGTGCGTCGATTTGTTGAATAAGTGAAAGCTTTTCATTGATGGGTTGCGGTCCTCCAGTAGGTACTATTCGTCTTCGAGAAATACTTCGAACATTTCTCAGAAGTATAGTACCCAATACTATCACAAATATATTTGGTAGAACGCCTGACGTAAGTGTTTCAGCATAGGCGTCAAATTTTTCGTAAGTGCCCCCTATAGGACCGCAAACTCCACCACTGATTGTGTAAAATACCAACCGGTGGCTAGTCCATAGAAACCAGAAAATCACAACTGCTGGAATCAACTTGTACGTGAGAGATATACGATTGCTCCATGCGCGATACCCTACAATAGAAAATACATCATTGATCATTTCGTGTAAACAATGGCAATCTTAGTCGAAACAAAATATGCCCAGACAGGACATTCTCACACTTACTAGCGGAGCGGTGAGTAGATAGACATCGATCGATCGTAGCCAATACAAATAAGCTAAATGCAGTTTCATGTGTAAATTCCGAAACCCATTGTCGTGTTTTGCAAGCGACGGAATAACGGCTGAAAACAGGAATCTGGAAACCGTTTTGAATAACCCGTGTGAGACACACATAATCAAAATGAAAAAATGCGGCTATTGCTTCCGCTATTAAGTAATTAGAACAAGCTCGCGCGCGGAAGGTTCCAGAACTAAATACCAGAAAGTTTCCAATACTACTGATAGTGCCTGTGATTAAAATGAAAGTGCCAAGATAAATATTTAAGAGACGGGGTACTTGCAATAGCATTGGATTGACATACACAGGTGCGCTTGAATTTTGGGTCGACATAGAAAAAATAATTGAATCAAAATTTCGAAATGCTCACTGGCAACCTTGATATCTAGAATAAGATGACACAGTCGTTTCAACTTATACGTATATCGTTCATACTCGATACTATCATTAGAATATGAATTTAGTCTTCGGTAGTTAAAAGATAGGCACTTTTGTGCACACTTATGAAAATTTCTAGATTTTGATTTGTTCTACAAAGGTGCAGAATGGGCAGATGGGCCCATGTTGATGATATTGTCTTCGATCATTATTAGAACACATCAGATACGTCTCTTTTCTCTTCGATCTCTATCGACAACCGCCCGCCCGCGCCCCCCCCCCCACCCCCCTCCCCTCCTCCCCCGCCTCGCTTCTTCTCTTCCTGACGCC